ATTGGTGGGGGGAGGGGGCGCCAAAATAATGTTTGCTTACCATTGAAAATTACCTAGGGCCGGCCCTGACTATACCTCTGATTGAAAAACTGTGAGCATACTTGGGCTTTGCAGACCCTGCTAGCCCAATTAACAACACTGGCCACATAATCAGCTCACGTATTTTAGTGAACCTGCATTGGCTCCTGTAAATTGATACTGATGTTTGATGTTTATATTTTATGTTATATATAATTTATTAGATAGGTTTGTTTTATTTAATTGTAGGTGTTATGTTATAACTTGCTTTTATATGTGGGGTTATTTTGCACTATTATGTCTGCATTTGCTATTGTATTCAGGCTTGGGATGTTTGCCTTTTTTGTCTGTTGGAATCCACCCTGAGTCCCTTGATGGTGGTCATCAGTTTAGTCTTCCCATCATCAATGGGGGACATCCATATAGCACAGTGGTTCCCAACCATTTTTGACCAGGGCCCACTTTGACCAGGGCAAACTTGACCAGGGCCCACTTTGACTAGGGCCCACTTTCACCAGGGACCACTTGACCAGGGCCCACTCTGACCAGTGCCCACTTGACCAGAATCTACTTTGACCAGGGCCCACTTCACCAGGGTCCACCTTGACCAGAGACCACTTGACCAGGGCAAACTTGACCAGAGCCCACTTGACCAGGGACCACTAGACCAGGGACCACTTTGACTAGGGACAACTCTCCAACAGGAGTACCAAAAGGGGCAGGGCTGGTCAGCTCTATGGAAGGGAGCAGAAATAAAATAAAATAAATACAAAGGAAGGAGGTTCGTGGACCAGATTTTCGTTCTCACGGCCCACTGCTGGGCCACAGCCCACAAAGTGCAAAGTATGGAACCCTATGCAGATGGTCAGTCAATGCGACTTAAACAACATGCAGTCATTGAATTCTTGACAGCAGAAGGTGTCACCCCAAAGGAGATTAATCAGAGAATGCAAGCTGTTTATGGTGATGGTGTGGATGTGAGGACTGTGCATCATTGGGCGAGTAAGTTTAAAGACATTGAGGTGGGTACATCTGACTTGCGTGACAAACAAAGAGTTGGACATCCTGTGACAGCAACCAGCGAGTTTCACAAGCAAAAGATTGATTCAGGACAATCGCCGTATCACTCAGAGAGAAATTTCAAGCATAATCGGCATTTCACAAGAATGTGGGTCACATTATTGCTTTGCTTGGCTATTGGAAGATCTGTGCACAATGGGTACCCAGGATGCTGATGCCTGAAATGAAAGCGCACAGACTTGAAACTTCAGAGACTGGATCTCACCACTGTATGACATCCTCCATACAGTCCAGACTTCCTTCTGTTCCTGATAATGAAAGAAAATCTGCGGGGACATCATTATGCTTCTGTTGAAGACATTAAGAGAACTGTGAGACGCTGGTTGCGGAAACAGAGTGTCAACTTCTTCTGTGATGGCTTCAGAAATGTATCCAATTGTCTGGTGATTATGTGGAAGAGTTAATAGTGGTAGTTAAAGAGCACATTCGAAGGATTATTTCTGTGTTTGATTTATTAAAATATTCCCATCCAAACTTAAGTAATGAAGGTGGAGGCATTACTTTTCATTCAACCCTCCTATAAACCCCATTTTCCTAGTTTCCAACAGACCTCACAACCTCTGAGGATGCCTGCTATAGATTTCTTAGGCGATCCCTTGTTGTCCGATTAGGATAGTCTTCCCAGATCAGTGTACTGGCAGTGGGTCCGTAGGTGACTGTGGAGCCCTATTCTTGATCTGCATCTTCTCCCACAGTGAGGGCATTGTTTCTAGATGGAAGGTGGTCCCGGTCGGGTTTGGCTTAACACGCCTTCCTCTTGGCACGTTTCTCTCTTTTGCCCTCTATTCGTTCCTCCTCAAATTCTACAGCACTGCTGGTCACAGCTGGCCTCCAGCTGGAGTGCTCAAGGGCCAGGGCTTCCCAGTTCTCAGTGTCTATGCCAGAGTTTTAAGGTTCACTTTGAGCTCATCTTTTCTTTTCCTGCCCACCAACATTCCGTTTTCCGTTCTTGAGTTGGCAGTAGAGCAACTGCTTTGGGAGACAGTGGTCGGGCATCCGGACAACGTGGCCGGTCCAGCAGAGTTGACCATCGCTTCAATGCTGGTGGTCTTTGCTTCTTCCAGCGTGCTGACATTTGTCCACCTGCCTTCCCAAAAGATTTGTGGGATTTTTCGGAGGCAATGCTGATGGAATCATTCCAGGAGTTGCATGTGACATCTGCAGACAGTCCACGTCTCGCAGGCGTATAGCAGGGTTGGGAGGACAATAGCTTTATAAACAAGCACCTTGGTATCCCTACGGATGTCCCGGTCCTCAAATACTCTCTGCTTCATTTGGAAAAAAGCTGCACTCGCAGAGCTCAGGCAGTGTTGTATTTCAGTGTCAATGTTGAGGAGAGGTGGCTGCCAAGGTAGCGGAAATGATCAACATTTTCTAATGTTACACCATTAAGCTGTATTTCTGGCATTGGAGAGGGATTGACTGGTGCCTGCTGAAATAGCACTTTGGTTTTCTCAATGTTCAATGAGAGGCCAAGCTTCTCGTATGCTTCTGCGAAGGTGTTTTAGAGTGGCTTGTAGGTCTTCCTCTGAATGCGCACAGATGATGTTGTCATCAGCATATTGGAGTTATAACAGATGTTGTAACCTTGGTTTTGGCTTTCAGTCTGCTGAGGTTAAATAGGGGAGCATTTGCACAGTTAAAGCTCGTGCACCAACTGCGCCCGTACCTTGGGAAGTCTGACTTGGCCACGGTAGTCCACGCTCTGGTTACATCCTGTTTAGACTACTGCAATGCTCTCTACGTGGGGTTGCCTTTGAAGACGGCTCGGAAGCTCCAACTAGTCCAACGTGCGGCAGCCATGATACTAACAGGAGCGGAGCGCAGGGAGCATACAACTCCTTTGCTGCACCAGCTCCACTGGCTGCCGATTTGCTACCGGGCTCAATTCAAAGTGCTGGCGTTGGCCTTTAAAGCCCTAAACGGTTCTGGCCCAAGCTACCTATCCGAACGTATCTCTGCTTATGAACCCACCAGGACTCTAAGATCTTCTGGGGAGGCCCTGCTCTCGATCCCGCCTGCATCACAGGCACGGCTGGCGGGGACGAGGGACAGGGCCTTTTCTGTGGTGGCCCCTCGGCTGTGGAACGCCCTTCCCATGGACATTAGATCAGCCCCTTCGTTAATGGTGTTTCGAAGAAAACTAAAAACCTGGCTGTTCGAACAGGCGTTCGGTTAAACAATGCAATGTACACAATGAATATAGGAAACGGAATTATGGAAGACGAATTGGATCACGATTCTAGTTACGAGACGTTAATGTGTTGTTATTGATGTGTCATTTTGTATATTATGCTGTTAATGGTTTTTAAATTTTGTATGCTGTTGGATTGACTTTTGCTCTTGTTGTAAACCGCGTTGAGTCGCCTACAAGGCTGAGAAATTGCGGTATACAAGCAAAGTAAATAAATAAATAAATAAATAGCTTGCCATCTGTCCAATAGATGATTTCCACTCCAGTGGGAAGCTTCCCGTCAACAAGATGAAGTATCATAGCGATGAAGATGGAAAAAAAAGTTGGGGCAATAACACATCCCTGTTTGACACCTGATTCCACCTTAAATGGGTCACTTTGGGAGCCATTGCTGTCCAAGACTGTTGCCATCATGTCATCATGGAGGAGCCACAGGATGTTCACGAATTTGTTAGGGCACCCAATTTTTTGGAGGATGCCCTAACAATGTGCCAAATGCCTTTGCAAGGTCATTGAATGCCATGTACAGAGGTTGATTTTGTTCCCTGCATTTTTCTTGGAGCTGTCATGCAGTGAAGATCATGTCCATTGTTCCTCTGGAGGGATGGTAGCCATTCTGGGATTCTGGGAGGGTGTCTTCTGAGAAGGGTAGAAGGCGGTTTGCAAGGATTCTTGTGAGGATTTTCCCAGCTGAGGTTAGAAGGGAGATACCTCGATAGTTTCCACAGTCTGTTCTTTCCCCTTTTCTGAAGAGGGTGATGATGGTGGCATCCTTGAAATCTGCTGGGATTTTCTCGGTCACCCACACTTTCTATGAGCTGGTGGAGTTGTGTCAGTTCAGGTCCTCCCTCTTTAAAGATTTCAGCAGGGATCCCATCAGGTCCGCTGGCTTTTGTTATGTTTTTTGTTGACTGATGGTATTTCTGACTTCTTCCAACCTAGGCAGTGCTGCAACCTCTGCCCTGGTTTGTTGTTGCGGGATTTGTGAGAGAACCTCTTTGGCCACATTGGAGCTACGATTCAGGAGGCTTTGGTAGTGTTCTTTCTAACAGTAGTGCAATTGATTTTTTGTCCTTCAGAAGTTTGGTTCCATCTGATGAGCGTAGAGGCTGTATGCCATGGCAGATACCCATGATGCTCAGGGATTTTTCAAAGCCACAAAGGTCATGTATGCCTGTTATAGATACAGGCGGATCGTCAGGAGAGAATGCTTCCGGATCATGGCCATACAGCCCGAAAAACTTACAACAACCCAGTGATTCCGGCCATGAAAGCCTTCAATGAGACATTCCTCGCCCTTCCTGTTGTCTCGTTTGTAAGCCGGGTGCCTGTAACTTAGGAGTGCCCCCCCTTCCCCAGCCAGCTTCGTGGGCCCAGAGAAGGAGGGGGAGAGGGGAAGGGGGAGGCGGGGAGGGACAGAGGGGCCTGGCAGGCGGGGCGGGGCGGTCTGCTGGTGGGGGGCGGGCCCGGTCAGAGCGAGGGAGAAGCCCCCGCTTTTCCCTCTCGACGCCGAGTCAGTTGCCCGGCCCTGGCCGCCCCGTCCGGACGCTTCCGAGGAACCCCGACAGCGACGTAAATGGGTTGCCGAAGGGATTGTCTTTTGGGAGGGGGGGGGGTCGCTTGGTTTGAGCGGGAAGGAATGGGTTTCGGGCCGCTTTGGGAGGGGGGGGGGGCGGAGGGCAAAGAGAAGTGAGAGCCATGTTCTGAAAGGAGGTCCTAAGGAAGAGGGAGCAGGCTGGTTCCCCGCTGCTCCCAGGGCTAGGACACAACGGAGCCATGGCTTCCAAGGGCAGGGAAAGGAGATCCCACCTGAACGTTAGGATAGGCTACCAGGGAGTCTTTTTCTTTGGAGGCTTTTCTTTGCAGGCTATCTGTCGGGAGGGATTTGACTGTGCTTTTCCTGCCTGGCAGAAGGGGGTTGGACTAAGTGGCTCTTGGAATCTCTTCCAACTCTAGGGCCCCTTCCACACAGCTGAATAACATCCCACATTATCTGCTTTGAACTGGAATATATGGCAGTGTGGACACAAATAACCCAGTTCAAAGCAGGTCTTGTGGGATTTTCTGCCTTGGGATTCTGAGGCCCCTTCCACACAGCTGAATAACATCCCATATTATTTGCTTTGAACCGGAATATATTGCAGTGTGGACACAAATAACCCAGTTCAAAGCAGATCTGCCTTGGGATTCTGAGGCCCCTTCCACACAGCTGAATAACATCCCACATCATTTGCTTTGAACTGGAATATATTGCAGTGTGGACCCAGATAACCCAGAGCCCTTCCACACAGCCCTATATCCCAAAATATCAGGGCAGAAAATCCCACATTATCTGAGTGTTGAGTTAGAGAACCCAGCTCAAAGCAGATATTGTGGGATTTTCTGCCTTGATATTCTGGGATATAGGGCCCCCAGTTCAAAGCAAATCTTGTGGGATGTTTTGCCTTGAGATTCTGAGGCCTCTTCCACACAGCTGAATAAAATCCCACATCATTTGCTTTGAACTGCCTTGAGATTCTGGGTTCTATGGCTGTGTGAAAGGGCCCTAGGATTCTTATTATGTATATGCAAGTATTCCTACCTTGCCATCCTTCCTGGGCCTGGATATCTGTGGAAGAGGAAATCCCAAACATTTCTGATTCCTACCATTTTGGGGATGGATGGTCAATTCATAATGGGAAGGACTGGAACCCCAGTGAGGCCCCTTCTAGGGCCCTGTCCACACAGCCCTATAACCCAGAATATCAAGGCAGAAAATCCCACAAGATCTGCTTTGAACTGGGTTATCTGAGTCCACGCTGCCATATAGTCCAGTTCAGAGCAGATAATGTGGGATTTTATTCAGGGGCCCTACACTGCCAGCTAAAATCCAGATTGTCTGTTTTGAACAGGATTATATGGCAGTGTAGACTCATAGAATCCAGTTCAAAACAGATTATGTGGATTACTTAATATGATAATCTGGATTATATAACATTGTATAAGGGACACAGGGTTGTTCCCCCATGGAGCCCTTCCACATAGCCATGTAACCCAGAATATTAAAGCAGAAAATCCCATAAGATCTGCTTTGAACTGGGTTGTCTGAGTCCACACTGAGATTATGTGGGATTTTCTGCCTTGATATCCTGGGATACAGGACTGTGTGGAAGGGCCCTTGGTGGGAGTAAATACTGTATATTTGGTGCACTATTCACAATATGATTGAGTCCAAAGAGTAAAACAGTCCCTATACGTTTGGACTGTTTGAAAAGGGGTCGGAGGACTGAGGCCGCTTCCACACAGCTGAAGAAAATCCCACATTTTCTGCTTTGAACTGGAATATATGGCAGTGTGGACTCAGATAACCCAATTCAAAGCAGACATTGTGGGATTTTCTGCCTTGATATTCTGGGTTATATGTCTATGCGGAAGGGCCTTGAGGCTGGATCTACACTACCCTCTATCCCAGGATTTGATTCCAAATGATCTGCTTTGAACTGGGTTATATGAGTCTACACTGCCAGATAATCTGGGATAAGCAGATAATAATCTGGGATCAGATCCTGGGATAGAGGGCCCTTCCATACAGCCCTATATCCCAGAATATCAAGGTAGAAAATCCCACAATGTTTGCTTTGAACTGGGTTATCTGAATCCACACACAGATAATGTGGGATTTCCTGCCTTGATATTCTGGGATAAAGGGCTGTGTGGAAGGGCCCAGAGGGCAGTGTGTCATTTTGGTTGTGCAGGAAGCCAGCCTGATGGAAAGGCAAGCAGCTCATGGAACAAGACATCTTGCTGGTGGTCAGAAAAAGCAGGTAGTTAGGCAAGCATTCAGATTTCTTTTGTTGGTGTTAGGTGCCCTATTTACCCTTCTCTTACCTTCCAGTGAGTTCAAAACTTCATATATAACTTTCCCTCACCCTGCAGTCCTCTCTCCTGCTCTTCCCATGGGTAGACACCTGGGGCGCCCAAGGTATGTTTTGAATTACAACTCTCATCATCCTACCTAGAACATTTGTTGGGGTCTTCTTGGAAACATCATTCCAAAGGGATCTTTTCCAAGCAGTGTAAGGCAGAGAGATGTAGAGGATAGTAAAGGTAAAGGTTTTCCCCTGACATTAAGTCCAGTCATGTCCGACTTTGGGGGTTGGTGCTCATCTCCATTTGTAAGTCGAAGAGCCAGTTTTGTCTGCAGTCACCTCCAAGGTTATGTGGCTGGCATGACTTCATGAAGCGCTGCTACCTTTCCACCAGATCAGTACCTATTGATCTACTCACATGTGCATGTTTTCGAACTTCTAGGTTGGCAGAAGCTGGGGCTAACACCAAATTATTATTATTATTATTATTATTATTATTATTATTATTATTATTATTATGTTTATTTATACCCTGCTTTTTCTCTCCACAAGGAGACTCACACCTTGCACCTTCCTCTGTGCAGAGGTCCTTGTTCTGCCTTCTTTGGGGGTTTGTAAGCAGAGGCTGGATGGCCATCTGTTAGGAATGATTTCATGGTGTTGAAATGACAGAAGGGGGTTGGACTGGATGGCCCTGTTCCAACTCTGTGATGCGACTATTCCACCGCCGAGCCACCATCTCTTGGACTGCCTTTTGGACTAAAGTCCTGTTCACCTGCGCTGACTGGGGCCACTCTCTCTTTCCCACAGGGGCCACAGACTCGCCAGGAGGCTAAGCAGTGTGCCCTCTGCATGCGCCGCCTTCGTCTGCCTTTCTGCAGGAGGAGGTGGGATCCCCTCCGCCCGCCCGCCGACTGCCACGGCCCTTGCCTCTCCCCCCACCAGTCATGGTGGGTCACTTGCAGCTGCAAGGCATGGAAGGCAGCCTCAAGGAGAAGAACCGAGAAGGTCTGCTTGATAGCCCGGATTCAGGGCTGCCCCCCAGCCCCAGCCCACCCTTCTACTCGCTGTCTCCAGGCCTCCTTGAAAACAGAGCTGGCGGCAGCAGTTCCTCTTCCACAGATATCCAGACCCACGGGCCTGGGAAGGATGGCAAGGAAGGAAAACTGGTAAGGCTTTTACCTTCAGCTCCCGGGGTCCCAAACAGGGAATGGAAAGTTTGGTTTTGTGGGTGTGATTGTCCCCATTGCTCTAGCACCGGTGTGCAGGAGATCTGGAAGTATGGATAGGTCACAGGATTGGCATTAGATTGCTTCAGGTTTCTGGTGTCCAATTGTTGAGCAATAGCATCAAAAACAAAAGTCTCCTTGCCTGCCAAAGGAGCCTGTTGGAGTCCGTGGACCTTTAGTCACATGGATGGAGATCTGTGTTTGTATTTGCAGGTTGTGACTACTGTATTTCATCAGTTTTAATGCTGGATCTACACTGTCCTGTATCCCAGGATCTGATCCCAGATTATCCGCTTATCACACATTATCTGGTGGTTAAACTCATATAATCCAGTTCAAAGCGGATAATCTGGGATCAGATCTTGGGATACATATTGAGGTGTAGAAGGGGCCTAAGAGATGTGGTAATTTGTTGTTGAAGGCATACATGGCTGGAATCACTGGGTTGCTATGAGTTTTCTGGGCTGTATGGCCATGTTCCAGAAGCATTCTCTCCTGACCTTTTGCCCACATCTATGGCAGCCATCCTCAGAGGGTGTGAGGTATATTGGAAAATATTACTTTCCAATATACCTCACAACCTCTAAAAATGCCTGCCATAGATGTGGGCAAAACGTCAGGAGAGAATATTTCTGGAACATGGCCGGATAACTCACAACAACCCAATATGGTAATTGTTTGCTGCAGCAACAGAAGGCATGCAGGCTGGATCTACACTGCCATATTAAACAGATTATCAAATTAGATAATCTAGATTATCTGCTTTGAATTGGATTATATGAGTCTACACTGCCACATAATCCAGTTCAAAAGCATAACCTGGATTTTATATGGCAGTGTAGATGAAACCTCAGTGAGACATATACCATAGGCTCTCAGCTAACCGACAGCCACGGGGATTGGTCGATGCCAGATAACTGTAGTTTCTGGTTGCTTGAAAGTGATTATTAAACATGGGTCTAATCCCATACTAGACGAAACCATAAACTCTGCATTGATGTTATAGTAACATGGAAATGCAGTAATTAAATTAAGACAGATAAAGGCAAACTTAACTATATTGTAAAAACAGCTTTGTGAATGCAGAATTATTATTTTCAATGTTTGTTTGAGAATCTTGGCTGCTCGAGTTCCAGTTAACTGAGAGTCTACTGGACTCTGAACCCTTCTGTCAATCTTGTAAGCAGAGCCACAAAAATTCCAAGCTCACAAAAAGCTTCATAGACAGCCTGCTAACATGTATTCCAGGCATCAGTCTGAGCATCACTAATAGGCTGATACAAAAAATGCTTCCCCTTGCCTTACCCACTGTACTTTGATTTTGCTCACCTTCTGCCACCAGGCTTATACAAGTATGGTCTAGCTTGCATGGTATGGTATATTCAAAATGGTATGTATGGATCTGTTACGGAGGCTACTTACAAGACCATTTTTTCCTTTTAGAAAGGTAGATTATATTGCTGTAACCAAGACAGTCCTGCGCTGCTGATGTTTGTGTTCCCAAATAAATCAGGATGTACTTTTAGGTTTAACGGCTAGGAATAGTACTCAGACATTGACTTGTTAGTACCATTCCACATACAAAACTATAAAAGGGGGGGGGGCTGTTGCACATTTGAGACTGAGAAAAGTACATTGATGAGTATCAGCTTTTGTGAATTCTAGTCTGGCTTATCAGATACTGCATCAATGTATAGTTTCTTGGAGGTAAGCTGTAGTGTCTTTCTTGGTGCTTACTCTAAGGCATATCTGCAGAGGATTGCAACTTCCTTACTTGGAATTACATTTCTTTAATAATGGGAGTTAGGACCCCCTATATACCAAGATTCTGCAGTAGCACACATTCAGTAGAGAAAATCGTTTTGTCTGGTTAATTGCGCCTTAGTTACCTCTAGGTTGGATTACTGCAGGGGTAGGGAACCTTTGGCCCTCCAGCTGTGGTGGACTTCAACTCCCACAATTCCTTGAGGCTCGGCATTGGGCCAAGGTAAGCCTTTGGGGCGAATGCCGAGCCTCAAGGAATTGTGGGAGTTGAAGTCCACCACAGCTGGAGGGCCAAAGGTTCCCTACCCCTGGATTACTGTAATGCATTCCACGTGGGGCTGCCCTTGAAGAAGGCTCAAAAACTGCAGTTAGTGCAAAGGTCAGCGGCCAGATTGTTAACAGGAGCAAATTACAGGGAGCGGTCAACCCCCCTGTTTAAACAGCTTCTCTGGCTGCCGATAAGTTTCCGGTCCCAATTCAAGGTGTAGGTTATTACCTATAAAGCCCTAAACAGTTTGGGACCTGCCTATCTTCCCCTATGAACCAACATGGTCTCTAAGATCTTCTAGGGAGGCTCTTCTCTCGCTCCCACCCTGTCACAGGCACAGTTGGTGGGGACGAGGGAGAGGGCCTTCTCGGTGGTGGCTCTCCGGCTTTCGAACTCCCTCCCCAGGGAGATTAGACTAGCACCCACTCTGTCCACATTCCACAAAGATCTAAAGATGTGGATGTTCCGTTGTGCTTTTGACTAGACAATCCCCTAGATAGCTTTGCCCCAACTAGGACCCAAAATCTTGTCCTTGCACTTTACTATTGTTCTGTACCTAAAGTTATAATGCTGTATCTTATATTGCCCTCTATCTCTGTTGCTGCCATATGACCTATGCACTTTATTCATCAGCCCTATCCTCACAATTGTTTTTGCACCAGTCTGTCCACCTGTGCCCAGAAACGGATTATTATCATAGAGCTCATTGTTTATTGGTTTGATGTTGTGTTCTCATATTTTGTTATAATGTTGTTGCTTTTTTGTTTTTGTTTTATGATGATGTTGAGATATTTTAATATGTTATATTTTAACCATGTTCGATCGGGCTTGTCCCCATGTAAGCTGCCCTCAGTCCCTTCGGGGAGGTGGAGGCGGGGTATAAAAATAAAGTGGGTTGTTGTAAGTTTTTTGGATGGTATGGTCATGTTCCAGAAGCATTCTCTCCTGACATTTCACCTGCATCTATGGCAGGCATCCTCAGAGGTTGTGAGCCATACAGCCCGAAAAACTTAAAATAACCCAGTGATTCCGGCCATGAAAGCCTTCGACAATACAAAAATAAAATTAATAATAATAATAATTTTCAATTTTCTAGTTCTTTCATGATGGGCATAGACTTCAAAGGGTAGAGCCTGGTGCATCTCAAAAGCTACAAGTGGCTAAACACAATTTTCTTTCAACTGATTGGGATGAATGTAAACTTTCCATAGGGTCCATTTGCACCAGAAAGGACTATTTCCGTTCCTGATCAATGATATGCCCATAAATAGACATTTGTGGGATGGGAGGCAGGTATCCCCATATGTCTAAAATGATGCACTTGAATTAAATAGTAATGCAGTTTAATTCTGCCACATTTCAAAAGAAATAAACTGGTGTCAGTGGTTCAAGGGCTTGTAAGAACAGACACAGCTTGGCAGTATAGAATCCTGTGCACACTATTTTCCTGCTGTCTATCAATTTTAAAGGACTAGGGTCACCCCATGCATCTTTTAAAACGAAGTCGAACATTGACAAGGAGTCTGGAACATTCCCCTTTGGATTAGGTCTCTCACTCCAGTGGCTACATCCCCAAAGCATGCTCAAGCTGAAAATTCCTGAATTCCTGAACCAATTTCTGAACCAATGGGTCTGCCCTACTTAGAACTACCAACAGGATTCAAGCCTAAGCATTCTTCAGTTTCGGCTTCTAAAGGTTTGGCTTTGTGGGGAATAGGCAGATGGAAATGCCAATTTAGCTACTTTCATAAAATATAGATAAGAATGTAATAGTTTTTGGAGTGGTGTTAGTACATCAAGTAAAGCCCACTGAAAACCAAAGGTCCGTTAATACAGATTGAGTATTTTTACCTGTCTGCATCAACATATCATGTATTTATGATTTTTTAAAAATCACGATTTTCCATACCTATGTATCTTGCATTTTAGGTGTTTTGGTTTGTGATTGCCCATTGGAAGTTAAGCACAGGCCTAATTTGCTAGTGTGATGACTGAGGGATGTATCTCTTCTCCTTGTGCATGGATTATTTATAAGGAATATGCATTCCCTCTAATGTCTAATTTTAACCTATGGTTTCCAATGTTTCATTGCATTTCAGTGCTGCATTTATCCCACATTTTAGAGTCCAGGGCCTGAGGCTGGATCTACACTGCCCTATATCCCAGGATCTGATCCCAAATTATTATCTATTTATCTCAGATTATCTGGCAGTGTAGAATCATAGAATCCAGTTCAAACTAGATAATCTGGGATCATATCCTGGGATAGAGGACAGTGTAGATCCAGCCTGAGAGAGAGATAAATGTGGAGAGGATTTTTGTGCCAATTTAACAGGGCTTTTGCTGTTAAGAGAAACCTACCCACTTTGGACAGCCTCTTTGGCATAGCCTTGCTGCTTCTGACCCCATGCCGCTCCGTGACATAGTTACGTCACACCACTGGGCAGCGCTTCAAGGGGCTGATATGACACTCCTAGGTCCTTCTAAAGATACTTCTTTAAAGGATCTCATGGTAGCTGAGCAATTTCACACTCACATGAGACATCAGTATCCATGGGGTAACTCCAAGCGGCACTTCTGCAATGTGTGTCAGATGCACACTGGACAGATGCAAGTCCCCTTTGGGAGATAGAGCGGAATATAAACAACTTCTTCTTCTTCTTCTTCTTCTTCTTCTTCTTCTTCTTCTTCTTATTATTATTATTATTATTATTATTATTATTATTATCCAGTTAGACCTCAAAAGGCCAGCTTGCTTTTAATTGGTCAGAAAAATATGGCCTGCTATTTTTTTTATGGCAGTTGTTATGGACACATCTACACTAACCACTTAAATGAGTTTAAAAACGGCATTGAAGAAAGTGTTTTTGCTGTGCAGATAATTCCAGAGGGAATCCTGGAACCAGTT